TAATGCTTTCATGTTGCCTGTTTGTACAAAGCAAGCTGACTCAAATTTGCATGACTTCCTGTAGAATTTCTGGTAAGAAAAGCAACAGTAAATGTATGCTTGCTTGTTTTTCTAGACCTTTGCTCTTAGATTTTTTCTTAGGTCTAGAATTCTTTATTGTGCATTTATGTTATAATTTACTGTTTTAATTTGGTGAATACTGGTGTGACCCATCAAATTAGAGGGTTTATTGTATTATTTAATTTGGAAATGGGGGTAATTTCTCAGTGGAAAACTTGATGTGCGTGGATTGACAGCATTTTTAAAAGGATGCCTAGTAAGTTTGGGTTGCCCTCAAATTCTGTTCATTTATGTTTGAACTTAGAATTACAGTTGCCAAAGAGGAACCTGAATGTTACTCAATAATTTAATACTTTTTTTAAAGTTTGTTTATTTTGAGAGAGAGTGCACATGCATGTGTGAGTGGGAGAAGCGGCAGAGAGGGAGAAAGAGAATCCCAAGCAGGCTGTTAGCGTGGGTCCATCTTGGGGCTCAATCTCACAAACACTAAGATCATGACCTGAGCTGAAATCAGGAGTCAGATGCCTAACCAACTGAGCCACCCAGTTGCCCCAATAATTTCATATCTTTAACAAAGAAGAAAACTGTCTGGAATTGTGTAGGTACAGGCCTGCCTGGGACAGAGTGACTAGCTCTCTCTTAAGGCTCTTTGTAATCCTATGGTTATAGCACTGTTGAGAATGTAAATTGTAGTTTTTAGTTTTTGGGGGGCTGGAGGGAAGAGAGAGTATGCACGTGTGGGAGGGGCAAGGGGAGAGGGGGAGAGAGAGAGAGAGAGAGAGAGGGAGAGAGAGAATCTTAAACAGGCTTCACAGTCCAGCGTGGAGCCTGATGTGGGGCTCCATTTCACGACTGTGAGATCATGATCTGAGCTGAAATCAAGTTAGTCGCTTAATGGGCTGAGCTACCCAGGTGCCCTGAGAACGTAAATTGTAAATCATTGTAGGGATCTTTATCGTCCTAGAATTTTATTTTAATTAAAAAGTATATTTATTTTTGAGAGCGAGAGAGGGACTCGTGTATGCACAAGCAAGGGAGGGGCAGAGAGAAGGGGACAGAGGATCTGAAGTGGACTCTGTGCTGACAGCAGAGAACCTGACGTGGGGCTCGAACTCATGAATGGAGAGATCATGGCCTAAGCCAAAGTCAGATGCTTAACCGACTGAGCCACCCAGGCATCCCGTACCCTAGAATTTTATAAAAGTAATATATATATATATATATGAATATATATATATATATATGAAAAACAAAACATTTCAAAAGGTATGTATTATGGTAGAGTAATTCAGAGTTCTGGCCTCCAGCTCCAGTCCCTTCCACCCCCTAGACAACCACTGTTACCTCTTTGTAACTCTCCAGATAATTGATGGGTATGAAAGCTATACAGCACTCACAGGTATTTCTGTATATACTGTTCATACTATCATGTGCTCTTTTCACTTATTAGTCTCTTAGCCATCTTTCCATATTTCACATAGATGTGTTTTATTCTTTTTAACCTCGGCATGGTTTTCCTTTTTAAGAATATACCATGATTAACTGATGGTTAGTGTATAATTTCATGTATTTTGGTTTTTGATTCTCATCTAAGCAGATGTTAGGACTAGACTTGACACAGGACATTTAAACTCTAATACACCGCTTTTCAAAGCTTTAAGTAGTCTCTGTTGTGTTACTGACTTAGTCTTTCTGGCAGTACACTATCGTAGCTTGGTAGGCCTCTGCTTGCTTGTTTCCAGTCTCCTCTTTATTCTGTTTTCTCTTTCCCTCTTTCCTCTCTTCGTCTCCTTAATTTAAAACAGTTGCAGGGGGGTACCTGGGTGGCTCAGGTCATGATCTCACAGTTCGTGAGTTCAAGCCCCGCATCGGGCTCTGTGCTGACAGCTCAGAGCCTGGAGCCTGCTTCACTTTCTGTGTCTCCCTCTCTCTCTGCCCCTTCCCTGCTCATGCTGTGTCTTTCTCTGTCTCAAAAATAAATAAACATTAAAAAAAAAAAAAAAAAACGGTTGCAGGGCACCTGGGTGGCTCAGTTAAACTTCTAACTTCAGCTCAGGTCATGATCTCACAGTTCGTGAGTTTGAGCCCTTGGTCAGGCTCTGTGCTGACAGCTCAGAGCCTGGAGCTTGCTTCGGATTCTGTGTCTCCTTCTCTCTCTGACCCTGCCCTGCTCCTGCTCTGTCTCTGTCTCTTAAAAAAAAAAAAAAAAAAAAAAAAAAAAAAATTCAAATGGATTTTTCTGTCACAGACCATTCCTTCTAATCCTGCAGTGAAGTTACCATCTTTTGTTAAAAATGGAAATGTTGTATAGGAAATGTCCCAAATTCAACATTTTAAAAGTTAAGTTCTCTAAAAGATAACATTACTTAATTAATGCCAGTGAGACAGTTTTAGAAGAAAGTTTTCCTGTAAGATGTGCAGGTGCTAAGTTTATGCTGAAATAACAGGCCTTTGTAACTTTTGAGTATTTTCCAGCTGTGGTGAGTTGTTTATGATTTTTTTTCAAACTGCTTGTTTTGTGTTCTTATGTCTGTTACAGGAATTAACATTAGTTTATCTGAATTGACAGGTGCAAGAGCATTTAACTGTTGATGTGTAGTTGAACTGGGGAGGGGGGCTGAAGAAGGAGCAGAAGCTTGTTTTTATCATGTATCTGTTAACATTGATAGAACATACTGTTTCATTTGGCAGAAATTCCTTTGCTGGGGATCTCAGTATGGTGTTAAGAATTGAAAATCTAATAATGAATTATCCTTATCCTTGGAACTGGTCCTTCTAAAATGAAGTTGGAGGAGTAAGATGGGATAACATTTGTTTTGTTTGCTGAGCAGACAAACACTGGAGACTAGGTAGAAAACTTAATGCTAGAGCTGTAACCTTTTAAGCCTGGCCATCCCTACAAAGCAGGCCTTTCAGTGCTTTTCCTCAGCTGACACACATATTAGCTGTGATAACATCGTTAAACCAAAGGGATTCCAATAGGTTAGAATTTCCTTGTGTTTTGCTTTTCACTGCATGCAAACCATTGTTGAGTGGTTACTTTAATAATCTTTTCTCCCCTTATTTAAGGTCACAGAGTTGCAGATCAACATCCAAGCAGATATTTGAATAAAAGTTACAGTTGCATGAAAAAAATTATGACTTGAAAAATATGTGGGTTCCTCCTAGTCAAAATTGGAAACATGAATGGAATTAGGAGATCTGGGTTCTTGTCCTTGATCTGCTACTTATTAGGGATGTGGTCTTAGTTAAGTCATTTTAATCTGCCTCCCAAACATCATCTCCTGGGGGGGGCCGCGCCCCCCCAAGGTCAGAGTAGTTGCTCTCTAAATTTCTTGTAGCTTTAAAATTCCTTGACTGCACAGGGAGTAGTACTCTATGAAATGTGTAATCTAAGGTGGCTGTGTTTTGTGGTTAGAGTTAGAATTAGGAGTTGGGAAAGTGGTGGTGTATATTCTTGTTTTTCTTAGTTTGAGTATAGAAGTTTCATGTTTTTACTGTAGTGTATAACTTCTGCTGAGGTATTGAAGTTCTTAGAATGCCATTTTGGATTTCTTATGTGTTTTGTGCTTGTGTCCATGGTTAATATAGTCACAAGTATGTCAGTGACAACAAAATACAGTGCCATAAGAATATCATAAAAAGATGACTTGTGAATAGAATAGGCTTGAAAGTTTGTAAGCTTAGGTTCTTTCTTAGATGCATTTTAGTTTCTTCCTGAAAATGGTTCTGTAGCCATTATCTTCCATGTCTTTTTCTATCTGGTCAAATCATCTTTTCAGAGACTACTAAATAAGCGTTTACTGGTGGCTGAGAAGAGGCAAGTGAAAGAACTTAGACCCTGTCCCTATTTCCAGAGCTATTCATTTATTTAGATTTATTTATTTATTTGAGTAATCTCTACCCCCAAGGTGGGGCTCCAACTCCCAAATCCTCACTTCCAAACCCTTACGGACTGAGCCAGCCAGGCATCCTCAGAGCAATTGATGATTATCTTGATACTCTGACTGAGCTGACTATAAAGGTTACTGTGTTTCAAAGCAGCAGGCCCAAAATAATATTAAAAAATTCTGCCACTTTTTTGCCTTGTCTTGGGGATGGATTAATACTTGGGCAGAAGAATGCTGTGTGAATCAATGACCTTTAGATGCTTTGTACTCTTGAGATAGAGATGTGATGTGAGAAATAGTAAAGAAGTAAACTGGGCTAGAAATGAGATGATGGGATTCATGCATTAGTTGAGGTAGCAGGCATTATGTGTGGTACATTGGAAAAACATTGGATTAACAGAAGACATTTACCTAGACAAGTTATTTCACTTTTCTGATGCTCTTTCCTCATTCCTTCTAGGTAGCAATAAGTACTCAGAGTTGTGAGGAAAATAAGCTAATTTTTCAAAAAGTACTTTATGGACTAGTGTTATAATTGGGGGCCATTGCATATCCTTTGGATAGAAAGAATTCGGTCCTCAGAGTGAAATTTTGGTAAATATCCTTCATCCATTTACAGATGTATCTTATTTTAAGCAAAGTGTGTATATGAAAGACTTAACCATCAAAGCAGAAGAATAAGATTGCTGTGAACTTTACAAAGAGCCTATGGATGGAAGGTTCTTTAAGGATCTTTTAATAACTATTTTAAGTGAATTTAAAAATTCAGTCATTTAAAAAATGACTTGAGTTACAAATAATCTTATTGACACAGAAATTTTGCTGAATCCCGTTTTGGAAAAGAAAAAACACACTTTTGAATTTTGGACTTTTAAAACTCTTGGTATACATTTTTATCCTAGTCTTCATAGATGACAGTAATTAAAACTTGGTGGCATTTCAGCATTTCAGAGCTCTTTGGGCTCACAGAGAATGTATTCATGACTTTGAGCATCATGTTTACTATGCTGTCAACCTCCACTTCATTTTACTTCTGCTTTTCTCCTCTAGGTTTTTCGTTGGAATATACGTTGCACATTTATGGCGATTCTGAGCGTGAGGGCAGACTTCTGCCAGGCTCAGCACAGCGTTTTCGCTGACAAGTGAGCTTGGGGCTTCTATGTGCCATAATTAACATTGCCTTGAAGACTCTGGACACCGAGACTGGCCTCAGAAACAGTTGGCTTTTTTTTTTTTTTTTTTTTTATTGCAAGCATATTTCTTTTAATGACTCCAGTAAAATTAAGCATCAAGTAAACAAAAGTGGAAAGCAACCTACACTTTTAACTTGTCTCACTAGTGCCTAAATGTAGTAAAGGCTACTTCAGTTTTGTATGTAGTTGGAATTTTTGGAGTCCGAAGGTATCCATCTGCAGACATTGAGGCCCAAGTTGAATTTGGATTCAAGTGGATTCTAAATACTTCTGCTTACCTTGAAGAGAGAAGCTTCTTAAAGAATAAACAAGTTGAATAGAGAAAACACTGATTGATACTAGGCATTTTAGTGGTCTTTTTAATGTTTTCTGCTGTGAAACATTTCAAGATTTATTGATTTTTTTTTTCATTTTCCCCATCACACCTACACACGCACTCTCACACTTTTTATTTGCCATAATGAACCGTCCAGCCCCTGTGGAGATTTCCTATGAGAACATGCGTTTTCTGATAACTCACAACCCTACCAATGCTACCCTCAACAAGTTCACAGAGGTAAGATTGTAGTATGGTCTACTTTTTGGATTGATTTATGGGTAAAGTTCCATTATAAGTGAACACCATTAGTAAAGAAATCTCTTACCACAAAGCCATTTATTTCTGTGATTGGAATGTGGGTGGTCATCCTTCCCAGTCTCTGTTTAAATTGGGTTGAATTAATTATAACAATTTTTTTTTTAGAGTTTATTTATTTAGAGAGAGAGTGAGCAGGGGAGGGGCTGACAGAGAGAAAGAGGGGGGTGGGGCGGAGAGTGTGAATATCTCAAGCAGGCTCTGTGCTGTCAGCGCAGAGCCCAGGGCAGGGCTCGATCTCACGAACCTTGAGAACATGGTCTGAGCCGAAATCCAGAGTTGGGCACTTAACCAGCTGAATCACCCAGGCGCCCCTACAACAGTTTTTTAAAAGAACACTTACAGAGTTTGGGGAGATTGTCTAGTGCTGGTTTTTTTAATATCCTTTCTACATAATTAGCAGTTCTTTTGTCAGATTTTTAATAATAAAAATAATATTTATTGAATACTTAGTATGTACCCAACGTTATAATCAGTCTTATAAAAAAAAAAAAGCGCAGTTTTAGGCGTTATATTATTTACTACTCAGAATAGCCCTATGAGGTATAGGTACTGTTATTTTCTTCCTCTTACAGATGAGGAAATTGAGGTTCAAGGCAATTTGGTAATTTAGTAATTTGGCTAGAGGTACACAACATATAGTAGAACTGTCTCTGACCCTGAAATCCAGGTCTGCCTCAAATATTCTAGCCACTTTTGATAAAAAGCTACTCCAGAACTACTTATCAGTCGTAACTATCATCTACAAGGATCAAAACCTTATGGGGAGGAAAGGTATTATAGGTAACATTTTTATGTCAGATCTTTCATTTTCTCTGCTGTATTTATAGAGTAAACTTAGCTGGATGAACTCCTAGGGATTCTAAATCTACCCCTCTCATTTTACAGATAGCAAAATGGAGTTCAGAAGAGGTTTTGACTTTCATAAGGACACAAATATTTACTATAAAAAACTGTACCATAACCTTTCAATGAATGGCTACTATGGAGTTCATTTTAATAGGATTTTATTTGTATTTTGAAGTGTTTTAAAATTACTGACTCCATGTAATAGCAACAACTTTCCTGAGTCTGTTTTAGAAGAAGGCCATTCTCTGAAAAATAAAGTCCTTTAGCAATTAGAATAACTTTTACCCTTTAGTTAACCAAATGATGGACACTTGTAGGATATCACTGTTCCTGCATATTTATACTTACAATTCCCTGAGCTTCTTAACTGTGTGTACACAGTGTGTAAGTTGATTCCAGGCCTGTGTGCCCTTAGCTTGTTCAGTCACCTTTAAGCCTGGTTGAATTATGTGATACTATTTTCAGCCTGTGGATTCCTTGGCCATAGACTCCAAGAGTGGCAGAAGCCACTGTCCTGCAACTATAAAAAGATGTTGGTGACCCATTGAAGATAGGTAGTCACTGGATTAGGCATTACTGGAGAAAATTTTCATTTTTTATTTGTTAAAAAAATTTTTTTAAATGTTTATTTTTGAGAGGGAGAGAGAGCAGGGGAGGGGTGGAGAGAGGGAGACACAGGGTTGAAGCAGGCTCCACGCTATCAGTGCAAAGCCTGACGTGGAGCTCGAACTCATGAGCTGTGAGATCATGACCTGAGCTGAAGTCAGACACTCAACTGCCTGAGCCACCCAGGCGCCCTGGAGGAAAATTTTTAAAGGAGCAAGGCTTCTGGCTATAATTGTATGTTTGTTGGCTTTGTAACATGATACCACTTTTTAATCTTAATTTCAAAATTACTTTTGTTTCCTTTTATTTTTTAAAATATTTTATTATTTATTAATCATTAAAAAAAATGTTTTTGGCGCGCTGGGTGGCTCAGTCGGTTAAGCGTCTGACTTCGGCTCAGGTCATGGTCTCGCAGTTTGTGAGTTCAAGCCCCGCATCAGGCTCTGTGCTGACAGCTCGGGGCCTGGAGCCTGCTTTGGATTCTGTATCTTCCTCTCTCTCTCTCTGCACCTCCCCCGCTTGTGCTCTGTCTCTCTCTGTCTCTCAAAAATGAATAAATGTAAAAAAAAAAAAAAAAAAAATTTTTTTTAAATAAAAAAAAATGTTTTTAGGTTTATTTATTTTGAGCGAAAGAGAAAATGCAAGCAAGGGAGGGGTAGAAGAAGAGAGAGAATCCCAAACAGCCTCTGTGCTGCCAGCGTAGAGCCAGATGTGGGGCTCGAATCCTGAAACTGTGAGGTCATGACCTGAGCTGAAACCAAGAGTTGGATACTCAACTGACTGAGCCACCCAGAAGCCCCTTTAAAGATTTTATTTTTAAGTAATTTCTGTACCCAACATGGTGCTTGAATGTACAACCTCAAGATGGAGTTGTATGCTCTGCCAGCTGAGCCAGCCAGGCATCCCACTTTTTGTTTCTTTAAATTAAAAAAGCAGTGGTACTTAGTATGTAAAAATCAGAAGATACATATAAGCAAAAGACAGTTTAGGGTTGCCTGGGTGGCTCCATTGGTTAAGCCTTTGGCTTCGGCTCAGGCCATGATCTCTTAGTTCATGAGTTTGAGCCCCACATTGGGCTGTCTGCTGTTGGCACGGAGCCCCGCTTCGGATCCTCTGTCTCCCCTCTCTCTGCCCCTCCCTTGCTCAGGTTCTTTCTCTCTCTCAAAAATCAACATTAAAAAATTTTTTAAAAGACAGTTTAAAAATACTTAACTCTTCTTAATACCTATCTTCTGGATGTTTTTCTCTACATATATGTATATATTCGCTTACATTCATATAGATAGGATCACATTATATTTTATCATCCCCCCAGCCTTCTTAGTATTATTTTTATAGCTGTCACAGTATTCTGTATGGATGTACCATACTTTCTTTTTTTTTTTTTTAATTTTTTTTTAATGTTTTATTATTTATTTTTGAGACAGAGAGAGACAGAGTATGAACAGGGGGAGGGTCAGAGAGAGAGGGAGACACAGAATCCGAAGCAGGCTCCGGGCTCTGAGCTGTCAGCACAGAGCCTGACGCGGGGCTCGAACTCGTGGACCGCGAGATCATGACCTGAGCTAAAGTCGGACGCTTAACTGATTGAGCCACGCAGGCGCCCCATGCCATACTTTCTTTAACTGTTCCCCTGTTTTTGGACCATTAATGTTTCTACCTTTTTACCATTCCAAACAGCCCATGCTGCACGTGTTGGTACCTAAGTCTTGGGTGTATATTTAATTACTTTGTTACTATAAATTCTCAGAGGTAGAATTTCTAGGTCATAGTGTGTGTCTGCTTTCAAAGGTTTTGTGACAGGTTACCAAACTGCCCTTTATAAAGGTGAATCATAGTGATGCTTCCGTTAAGAACTTGAGTGTCCATTCTATATGTTGCCACAATGAGAATGATTTTGATCTTTGAGAATGATGTCTCATTGCTTCAATTCGTAATTGTATGCTTTTAAAGTTTTGGTTGCAGATTCTAAAAGTAAGTTCCCTTATATTTGTTTTTCTTCAAAGGAACTTAAGAAGTATGGAGTGACAACTTTGGTTCGAGTTTGTGATGCTACATATGATAAAGCTCCAGTTGAAAAAGAAGGAATCCACGTTCTAGTGAGTGTGTAGTGTTTTCATTTTTCATTACGAACTACTAGTAGTACCTTTTAAACATAGCTGTTTTGAAAACTGGACATTCAGTATGCTTTTTAAGCTTATAGGAGGTACAACGTTGATAGCAGTCTTTTAAACTTTTTAGATTGGCAGTTTTGTTCATTTGTGCCCTTAAAGTCTATATATGCAAAGTATTTTCAACAAATGAAAAGCAAAATTTAATGTACACTTATTTCAAGAAAATGGAAATTTGATTTTGTTTTCTCTAGGAAATTATTGCAATATTTAGTTTTTGTTTCTAGGCTACTGTTGTGAATCTAGCTGAAAGTAATTTCCATCAGGAATTAAGTCACATGGAAATACAGTTGACCTTTGAATGTGGGGTTAGAGACACCAATCCACATACGACTTTTGACTTCCCCAAAACTTTACTAATAAGCCTACTGTTGACCAGAAGCCTTACTAATAACATCAACAGTCCATTAACACGTATTTTTGTATGTTATAGGTATCATGTACTATATTCTTACAATAAAGCTAGCTAGAGAAAAGAAAATTTCATTAAGAAAAAATAAGAGAAAATACGTTAAAGTACCGTACTCTGTTTATTGAAAACAAATCTGCATGTAAGTGGATCTGTACAGTTCAAATGCATGTTGTTTGAGGGTCAGCTGTATTCTGTCTCACTTTGCAAATACTATTTGTTATTTAATGTTTTGTGGATAACTTAGGGGAAAAAAAGGTTGGAGAAGAGGTTAAGAAGGGAGAGGGAGAAGGCATCTTGCTCTAGAGTAATCAGCATAGGTTCTGACACGTTTTGGTGGGTTTCTAACAAGCTCATGTGTGATTAGATTTATTTATGCTCAGTTTGAGCATAAAGTGCTTGGAATTATTTTAAGTTCTTCCTTAGCCCCTAAATACACTATTTCATGTATCAGAAACAGGAGCATTAGGCTATTTTCCCCTAAATAGTTGTCTAAATTGCAAGAGCATGTAATGAAATGACCTTGTAGTCTTAGGTGTCTTAGAGCTATTTGATTTGATTGTCGGAAGACACTGTGGTGTTGTAAGTATTTGGTTAGGAAAAAAGTAATAAAGAAGATATTGGTACAAGGTTATTTATTGAGAGGTACTTTTGTAGTCTTAATGCATTGGTCATCCGTGGTTGGAAAGTCAGTTGCAAAGGAAATAAATGCCTTCTTGGTAAGTCAGCTGTCTCATATCTGATCTGTAAAGTTTCCTCGCCTTCATTTTGGTGAAAACATAAAAACAAAACAACCAAGCATTAGGTTTTTTTTTTTTTTAACATTTATTTATTTTTTATTTTGTTTAAAAAATTTTTTTTAATGTTTATTTATTTATTTTTTTAATTAAAAAAAATTTTTTTTTTCAATGTTTATTTATTTTTGGGACAGAGAGAGACAGAGCTTGAACGGGGGAGGAGCAGAGAGAGAGGGAGACACAGAATCGGAAACAGGCTCCAGGCTCTGAGCCATCAGCCCAGAGCCCGATGCGGGGCTCGAACTCACGGACCACGAGATCGTGACCTGGCTGAAGTCGGACGCTTAACCGACTGCGCCACCCAGGCGCCCCAATGTTTATTTATTTTTGAGAGAAAGACAGAGTGCAAGTGGAGGAGGGGCACACAGAGACGGAGACACAGAATCTGAAGCAGGCTCCAGGCTCTGAACTGTCAGCACAGAGCCCAGCGTGGGGCTCGAACTCCTGAACTGAAGTTGGACGCTTAACCAACTGAGCCATGCAGGCGCCCTGTTTTTTTAATGCTTATTTATTTTGAGAGAGAGGGAGAAGGGAGAAGTATATGTGCACTTGAGCACAAGCTGGGGAGGGGCAGAGAGAGAGAGAGAGAGAGAGAGAGAGAGAGAGAATATCCCATGCAGGCTCCGCGCTGCCAGCACAGAGCCCCACCTGAGGCTCAGTCCCACAAACCATGAGATCAAGACCGGAGCTGAAATCAAAATTCAGGTGCTTAACCAGCTGAGCCACCCAGGTGCCCCCAAGCATTATGTTATAAAAAAAAATGTATTTTAATAGTATGGCATGGTAATAATTTCCTTGCATTCCCATTTCTAAGTGATTTTAAGGTCCTCTGGCTGTAAATCACTGCGGAATAAGTAGAAACTTGTATAAAATGTAGCCCTGTGTTAAAAAAAAAAAATTTTTTTTTTCTGAAACTAGGCTGAATACAAGTTCTTTTTTCTATGTTGTGAGTATGATCTCCAGTGGCCAGATGAGAAATCCGTTTTGACAGATGGCATGGGTCAGAAAATGAACTGTGGGTTGACCATAGTCTGTTTGAATCAGTAATGTTGGTAAACACCTTTATGAAAGAGAAATGAACTAAAGAACTTGAACTAGTTTGTAGAAGATAATGGTAGGGCTGGGATTTATGTTAGGCCCTTAAATCTAGGCTATTGTTTTGTTTTTGTTTCAAATAGCTGTGATCAGATAAAATTAAAGGTCTAATTTAAGCTTATAAAAAACCAGAACATTTAGAATTAAGCTTGGAATTTCTTTCCTTTTCCCAGACAGAGATTTTAAGTGGATCGTTAATCTACTTTTGGTAGGTGAGGAGACTTTGGAACACTTTATAAGGGCATATCCCCAAAATAAGACTTTTCAAATCCTTGACTAATGTTCTTACAAATCAGAGGCATATTGGAAAAGACTAATAATGGTAGTTTCATTTATGTCCATCAGTTTGAAGTTCAGACCATTCTAAATTATTTTAATGATTTTTTTGGTAGAGACTGCTTATATGAGTAAGTGAAGCATATTTCATATTACTGTTACTTAACTAGGCACATTTTAGGAAGTATTAGAGGAAATAAGCTCTCAACTAAGGCACTAACTTGTTTTACTGCTATTTACAGTTAAACTCTATGGTGACATTTTTAATGGCAACACTGACAGCCATTTAATAATGGGGTGTAGTTGACAAATCAAACATAATGTGTTGTCATTGCTAATGGGCTACATGAAATGTTCTAGTGGTGCCCATGAGTGTAGAATCAATTTAGTGTTTTGTCACTTTTCTCTTTTTCTTTCTCTAGTGTCTTAAAGTGTCCTTATCCAATCTCATTAGGATAATCTTATGTTTAAAAAAAATTCCCAGTGTTTTTGCATTTCTGTCCTTGAAGCTAGATGGAAGAGAGAGACTGCAAAATGTGAATTCCCTTCCCCCCTTTTTTTCTTTTTTAATAAAGTTTATTTATTTTGAGAGAGAGAGTGTGCACCATGCACGTGAACTGGACAGAGGCAGAGAGAGAGAGAATTCCAAGCAGGCTCCTCGCTGTCCAAGCAGAGCCCATTGCTGGGCTCGGTCTCATGTACCTCGAGATCACGACTTGAGCCGAAATCAAGAGTTGGACACTTAACCAGCTGAACCACCCTGGCACCCCTCCCCTCTTTCTTTAAAGCTGATTTATGTTGGTTTCTTAGGTCTTTTGCTAGGTAGAAAGGAAGATAAACCTCTGCCTGTATGATAAATGCACATGGGGTTGGTCTTAATTAAAAAGCAACCTAAAGGGCACCTGGCTGCCTCAGTCAGTAGAGCATGCAATTCTTGATCTTGAGATTGTGAGTTTCAGCTCACTTTGGGTGTAGAGATTACTTAAAAAACAAAAAACTAAAAATGCACAAATTGGCGAATATAAAGAGAAAGGGATACTTAAGAAAAAGTTCTCCATTTGCTCAGGACCCTATCATCTGGTACTGTGCTTGTTAAATGGGATATGTATAATTTAGGCAGAACTTTTAAAAATATTTGCTACTTGGCTTTTTTTTTTTTTTAATATATAAGCACAAAGATGGTAGTATATTTCTGTTACGATATGCCAACTACTGGTGATTTCTTGAGAGTCTTCCTCTAAAGGAAAGACATCATAACTTAGAGCTATTTCAGGGGATAATCCTCAAAATATTTGTACAGGTCAGATGGTATTCTTTGCCAGAGTGGACATTTACATCATACTGACAGGTGTTTATCCTCTCTTACTTTGTCTCGGTTTTATAGTTTTCTCTATTATGTCTAATTACTGCTTTATTCAGATAAAATATTTGAGGAACACTGGTTTCTCATCACTCTGATAAAAGATCTCCATAAGATAAAATTAGATGTTTACAGTGCTGACTTCATGTATTTGAGAAGGAATTTTGGTCTTGGATCATTTTTCAATAGTGATCAGAATTGCAGTATTAAGAATAGGTATATAATGGGGTGCCTGGGTGGCGCAGTCGGTTAAGCGTCCGACTTCAGCCAGGTCACGATCTCGCAGTCCATGAGTTCGAGCCCCGCGTCGGGCTCTGGGCTGATGGCTCGGAGCCTGGAGCCTGTTTCCGATTCTGTGTCTCCCTCTCTCTCTGCCCCTCCCCCGTTCATGCTCTGTCTCTCTCTGTCCCAAAAATAAATAAATGTTGAAAAAAAAAAAATTAAAAAAAAAAAAAAAAAGAATAGGTATATAAAGTACAGTTAGTTCACTTAAATCCCCGCTGTGTACTATGCAGCTATTCTGCATTAGATATTATCCTGGAGAAAATAACAATTTAATGTAAAAGATCTTTCCTTTCCAGGATTGGCCATTTGATGATGGAGCACCACCCCCTAATCAGATAGTAGACGATTGGCTGAACCTGTTAAAAACCAAATTTCGTGAAGAGCCAGGTTGCTGTGTTGCAGTGCATTGTGTTGCAGGATTGGGAAGGTAAGCTCTTCCTTTTTGTCTGTGAATTCATTATCAAAAACTTCACTTTGGTAGAAATTTGTATTTATGACACTAAATATTAAATTGCCTGAAAGAAAAGGAAATGAGAGCAAAAACTGGTGTAGATTTCTTGAGACAGCTTTTTGTGTTTCATTGGTTGTCTGATTCTAATGCCATAATAGGTTTAGTAGATGATCACTCAGAAATTGTTTTGAAACTGATTCAATGTAATTATCTTATTTGAGTTAAAAAAAATATGGTCTTGGGGCGCCTGGGAGGCGCAGTCTGTTAAGCGTCCGACTTCAGCTCAGGTCACGATCTCGCGGTCCGTGAGTTCGAGCCCCGCGTCAGGCTCTGGGCTGATGGCTCAGAGCCTGGAGCCTGTTTCCAATTCTGTGTCTCCCTCTCTCTCTGCCCCTTCCCCGTTCATGCTCTGTCTCTCTCTGTCCCAAAAATAAATAAACGTTGAAAAAAAAAAATTAAAAAAAAAAATATGGTCTTAATTCAGTATTTTTTTTCCTTCTCCTTATTTCACATATTCAATTTTTTTTTTAATTTTTTTTTTTCAACGTTTTTTATTTATTTTTGGGACAGAGAGAAACAGAGCATGAACGGGGGAGGGGCAGAGAGAGAGGGAGACACAGAATTGGAAACAGGCTCCAGGCTCCGAGCCATCAGCCCAGAGCCTGACGCGGGGCTCGAACTCACGGACCGCGAGATCGTGACCTGGCTGAAGTCGGACGCTTAACCGACTGCGCCACCCAGGCGCCCCTCACATATTCAATTTTTAAAAAAATATTTATTCGTTTTTGAGAGAGTGTGAGTGGTGAGTAGCAGAGAGAGAGGGAGACACAGAATCTGAAGCAGGCTCCATGAGCTGCCAGCACAGAGCCTGATGCTGGGCTCGAACTCATGGACCGTGAAATGATGACCTGAGCTGAAGTCGGATGCCTAACTGACTGAGCCACCCAGGCGCCCCCTTATTTCACATATTCAAAGGTTTAGGTCTTTGAAATAGGCAACAAAATGAAAATAATTTTAGATTTTGAAGAATCTACATGGGGTTAATTTTGGATTGAGATGAATGGGAAGTTAATAGGTGGAGAGAAGATGGCTGAACTTCAAACTCCTGAAAGGAGATGTAGAGAGAATGAAAATGATGTTGATGTCAAAGCCTTTTTCCTGGAGCACTGTGTGGAATGGTGCCGCAACACTCTCATCGGCAGCAGATTAAATGCCAGTTTATGACGTGCACTTTGACTCAGAACATTAGTGCAGGCTGCTGTTGCCTCAAGGTGGTGGTGACTCAGGCTGTTACCTCTGCTTAGCCCTTTTGTTTGCTGTTTTCCTTTTTTTTCATATCAGTGTCTTACAGTTTCTTCTTCAGGGTCAGAAGCTTCAGTCTTTATTCTGAGGGTGAAGGTAGTGTTCTAACTGGACTTGGCAGTTTTGTAACTAGTACCTATTCTAGCAGGTAGTCCAAAGTTGGTGCCAGGTAGTAGATTTTTTTTTTCTTGTTGCAATTTTGTATATATATAGTTTTTAATTTTTTTTTAATTTTATTTTTTCAAATTTACATCCACATTAGTTAGCATATAGTGCAACAGTGATTTCAGGAGTAGATTTCCTTAGTGCCCCTTACCCATTTAGCCCACCCCCCCCACGCCCCTCCAGTAACCCTTTGTTTGTTCTCCATATTTATGAGTCTCTTCTGTTTTGTCCCCCTCCCTGTTTTTATATTATTTTTGTTTCCCTTGCCTTATGTTCATCTCTTTTGTCTCTTAAAGTCTTCATGAGTGGAGTCATATGATATTTGTCTTTCTCTGACTGGCTAATTTCACTTAGCATAATACCCTCCGGTTCCAGCCACGTAGTTGCAAATGGCAAGATTTCATTCTTTTTGATTGCTGAGTAATACTCCATTGTCTATATATACCACATCTTCTTTATCCATTCATCCATCGATGGACATTTGGGCTCTTTCCATACTTTGGCTATTGTTGATAGTGCGCCTATAAACATAGGGGGTGCATGTGTCCCTTCGAAACAGCACACCTGTATCCCGTGGATAAATGCCTAGTAGTGCAATTGCTGGGTTGTAGGGTAGTTCTATTTTTAGTTTTTTGAGGAATCTCCATGCTGTTTTCCCGAGTGGCTGTACCAGCTTGCGGTCCCAGGTAGTAGACATTTTCAAACATCATTTCCCTTGTTAGATTTTTTTTGTGTGTATTATTTTATTGTTAAGGAGTCTGCTTCTGTGACTGTCATGAAGCCCAAGCTGGGTTCACAGTAACGAGTCCTGGAGGTAACTATATCTCACTCTGGACTCTCTGATCAGGATCCAGTCTTCTGTCTCTCCCTCAGCTGAAAACACAGACTCCCTAGGCCCCAATCCCTGCCTTCCCATTCCTGGAAGATGCCAAATCCAACTATGTAGGAGGCTTTTTCAGAGGAGACAACTTTGTCTTCCCAGAAGACTAACCCTCTCCTTTGCTTTATGAGGCAGATAGCATCTCCAAACCAAGGACAGGTTGGGACCTGCTCAGGCCTCAACGTCCCTTGTTAGATGTTAAAAAAAAAAAAAAAAAAAAAAAAAAAAAAAAAGATACTTATATAGAAAACTGTTTGTAAATACCAATTTTCTGACACTCTCGTAGCTCACAGAAAGGATTTTGTTGAAGAAATGTAGCACCTTTTTAGTATTTGTTGAGGAAATGATATTAAAATGGATTTGTAATGAAAATTCTGAGATGCTTAGTATGGATGACACACTTGTTCACTTATTTTGCTACAGTACTGGTTAAAGGCCAATGAAGAATTTTTGATGACATATAATGTGAAAATTTGAGATCTAATGTGATGGTGCTTTAAATAAAGATCTCTTAACGAGGTGTAGAATTTAGTGCTTTACTAAAAGTGGGTAACACCATAGACCTTATCATGATACAGACATTTGTATAAGGAAAATAGCAGCTATTTTAGTACACGGAAAAAAAGGGAAGCTCAAACTTCATGTTGTTTTGGTAATATGTAATCCTGGGTTAAAAAAAAAAATCCTTCAATTCCAAAGACTTGTGGATATTTACAGATGCGTTTCTCTCTATAGGGCACCCGTGCTGGTTGCACTTGCTTTGATTGAATGTGGAATGAAGTATGAAGATGCAGTTCAGTTTATAAGACAGTGAGTAGGAAGTTTTATGTTCAGAAACACATAAAGCAAGACCATACAAGAAGAAGGAATTACGGAAAGTACCCTTTTGTAGTATGGAGTAACTTGTTGGTTTAAAATACTGTTTGATCGAAGAAATCAAAAGTGATAAACTTGTAATAGTACTGTTGGCTCCCACATTTAAAGATTTTTTTAAGTTAGGTGGCAAATTTGGATGCTAAAGAATCTGTCCAATATGACTTGAATATCTAGGAATCTTTAAAATGAATAGGTAGTAGAGCCTCAGAGATCGAGTGACTCTTTTAGTGGATGTCCAAAACACCTTCCAATTGCAACTATGACCAAGAGGCAAGGAAGAATCTATAGAGGAGCAGTTAATCACTTAAGAATCTTAAGTGACCTGTTCAGGCACAAAATCGGGATGGTAGTGCCCAGACAGAATCTTGGCATCAGTCTGGAATAATGGGCCATGTTATTTTGTTGTCCAGAATTCTTTGGCAGTTAATACCTTGTCCTTTCCCTTTCAGCCTTTTCTTAAAAAAAAAAAAAAGAAAAGAAAAAGAAAAAGAAAAGAAAAGACTGTGACAAGAGGTCATGAAATGTATGGTAGCAGCTCTAGGAAGGTGGCATATTTCAAGGAATGCCATCTGTGCCTGCTGCTTCATTTAATACTTGGTCATTCATCAGCCCCTTCTCTTAAGAAGTGATACTGTACAAGGAATATTCTGGTTTTCACAGCGTGAAGTTAGAAAAGCCTTAGGCCATAAATAATGCATTTCAGTGAATCAGATAGTTTTTTTACATGATAAAGTTTGTCATTCTTGTATTTTCAGAAAAAGAAGGGGAGCATTCAATTCCAAACAGCTGCTTTACCTGGAGAAATACCGACCTAAGATGCGATTGCGTGTCAGAGACACCAATGGGCACTGCTGTGTTCAGTAGAAAGAAGTGTAAACGAAGGCTGACTTGATTGTGCATTTAGAGGGAACTCTTGGTACCTGGAAATGTGAATCTGGAATCTTAACTGTGTCACCAAAGTAGCGATGGATTCAGTACTCCTCAACCACTCTCCTAATGATTGGAAAAAAGCAAAAAAGAAATCCCTCTATAACATGAATAAAATGTTTAAGAAAAGAAAAAAAAGAAAGAAAAAAGGGATTAATTCAGTGAAGGATGAGTTTGCTCCTAATTGTTGGAGTTTGAATTTCTGTCAGAATTGAATTATATCAAAATCCCCTGTCTTTTTTAACTTTTCAAACTAGGTCTCTAAGGAAAACCAGCAGAACATTAGCCTGTGCAGAACCATCTGTTTGGGGAGCACACTTTTCCATTATGCTTGGCACATAGGTCTCCCTGTTGTGGGACTTTCTTTCTTTCTTTTTCTTTTTGGTGGTGGTGGGCGTATATTTTTCTCTTCTCTTCTTTCCCCATCCCCCCCACCCCCCACCCCCGACACAAGTTGTAGATGGAATAGGAGAAGCCCTTGTTGCTGTAGACGTGTGTGCAGTCTGGCAGCCTTAAGCCCACCTGGGCACTTTTAGAAAAAACAAACAAACAAACAAAAAAACCAACAAAAAAAAAGAAACAAAACACACACACACACACACACACACACACACACACACACACACACACACACACAAAAGCAGTGGCATATATATTATATGATCCAGGTGGTTTTTAGTCTTTACTGATGATGGGGTGTTCATGTTAGTTTCTTTTCTTGAAAACCCTATTCAACATTAGGCAACGTAGCCAAGAGCCTTTTGTTTTGGTTTTGTTTTGGTAAATTAGTGGGGAAATGGCATTTTAAAAAGAGTCTTTCTTCTCAGAGAACTTAGCTGAGAGTCGAATTCTTCTCTTTTCCAACCAATGAAGCTAAGTAGGTATCCCAGAAACTTTTGCTTTCTGAAGGGGAGCGCTCCAGGCCATCACTAAAGGTGTGTCCAGGCGGAGAGTTAGCATACTTTGTACATCACCGAAAATTGTGGGTCGTAGCATTACTCTGATTTTCTGTCTCATGTTATCAGAGAATGCCGATAGTTTGAAGTTTTTATTCAGGATTTACTCGTACTATGAATTTTTGAGAATGGTGGAAGGAGTTAACAGCAAAGATGGGGTATTTTGGACTCGAGAAATGCCTGTGATGCATATTTTCCAAACTGCCCCCTCTATGTACAGTTAAGTTTAACCACTGATTGCCTTGTTATTTTCTTACTAGGTTCTTTATGAGATTAAAAAAAAATTGCTGGTTCAAAACCAACAATGCCTAGTGAGTATGTGTCCACAGGCCATCCAGGGTGGCAGAGAGACCTAAAGCAACCCAGTGAATAGCAAAGGGACTGTGTTGTTGATGAAGTGGTATAGTATCAGTTTTACAGATTCTTTGCTGGGTTCGTTGTGCTGATCTAGAGAAGCTGTTTTTCTGCTCTTCTGCAGAAAGCAGTCGTGACCGGGCTGCACTCACAAAGCAAGTTGAAGGACACCATCCGGGGCTCTTGCACCCTTCATCTGAACATTACTTAATAGTGCTCTGCTGCTAAGGATTTGAATAAAGGCTTAGGGTCATCTTGTCTTGCTGGAATTTGCTATGCAGAGCCATAAACTTCCCATTTTTTTTAGGATCAGCTAGGCCAGTAGGAATGGACCGGGACCTTGTCTCACACTGATGATACCTCAGACGTTGGCTGGCTATGTGAACTGCCTATTTCCTGTGCCGGAGTTGTTCTGATTTTTAACTAAATGAAAGTATGTAGGTTCTCTCCTCCCCCATCCCTGAAAACAAAACAAAATAATGCTTTTTGAAATTGTTTCTAGAATTTTAAAGTGAAAAATGATGGTACTCTCCAAAATTCTTTATTTCAGAACATTACAATAGATTCCATTAACGTAGGTTCAAGATCAAAACAGCATACCATCTAAACTCAGACTGTCTGTTGACTCCAAGGGTTTTGATCAATACAATAACAAACTTTTTCCCTTTGACATGCTCTGATTTTTGTTGTTTGTGGGGAGTGTGTGTGTGTGTGTGCGCGCGCGCATGTGTCGGGTGTGTATGTGTGTGCAGTGTCCAGCAGTATCAGTGCCTGCCTGAGTTAGGAAAATTACATTCCTGGTTCTGTATGAGGAGAAGGGTGTATAAAGCGACAAGAAACATTATCCCTCATTTTGTTTTAAATTACATACTAATGTTAATTGTTCTCAGAACTGGATTTTCTTCCTCAAAATTAAAAGTTTTTTTTTTCTTTTGGATTTAATGAAGTCTTGCTAGCTGAAGCCAGTTTGACATGGTGAGAGAGATGTCAGACTGATGAAAGGTGTGCAGCCTGATTTAAAACCAAACCCTGAACCCTTTTAAAGAACAATAAAACATATTTTACATGCTCTTTGTCTGTGTATTGTTCTCCACCCCAGGTTGAATTTCATTTATGTCTCCTTAGAAAACTTAGTATTCTCAAGGTCTGTTTTGGATCCTGCTAATTACTGCAAGGAGGTGAAATAATTAGAGGCTGGGAAGTCCAAAGATTTCATGCCACCCAGGTGTTCAATACGGCGAACTTAACTGCAGTTGGGATACATCTGGTACATTTCAGGGTTCACTTCTTGGACACAACATTGTAGGAATTCAGCATCTTATTCCACGGGATTTTTTTTTTTTTTTTTTTTTTAAGCTACTCGGGAAGAGGTGGGTTCCCAATAACTTGCTGGCTTTTAGGACCAAAGGATTTGTTTATACCATAGGTTTTGGTGAAGCATTGCAACTTTTTACTTGAACTCTTAAAGAACAGTAAGGAAGGAGGAACATTATATATCCTAGGTCTGGGGTGGGGAATTTCCTTCAAACCATGGGTCAGCATCCATCCATTCATTCAGAAAACAAGCTTATCTGCTAGGGTACTAAGGACGAGAAGACAAGACACTGTTCGCACTGTGAGGACCTTAGTTTAGGAGAGGAGTTAGATCTGTAGATGTTAAGAACAGAGTAAGCAGATACAGTACTGTGTGACTTACAGTTCATTGAGCCTCCTCCCTGTTTTAAAGTTCCCACCTTCTGGTCTTCATTATCTAGCTTCCATTCAGTGGGCTGTTGTTCCATTCACTTGGCTAGATGGCAAATTGCCCTGCCGCATCTCTTGCTTCATTTTACTTGCCTGGCTAACCTCCATTTTTGGTGAAGTTCAGTCCGCCCCCTTATTTGCACATGTGCACTTGTGCAACTGGACACGCTGACTCCGTGTCTGTGTTTAAAGTCGTGACCTTAGATAGACCTTAGTACCGTCTGACAATCCTGCTTCATTTCTCTCTTTGATTTATTTACTCCTTGACTTTCCCCGAGAACACTTAAATGTTAATTCTTTCCCCCTTCTCTGCGGCCTCCCCCGCCCAGACTAAGAAAATAGAAACAAGGAAATTTCCGCAGGCTCCTGCCTGATGGCATCTCTACTTACCTACATGCATCTCTGCTTGTATGCTCAGTCTTTCCTTTGGTTGTATGGACAGATTGTCCTGGCCCTTCTTCAGGCAAGCTCTAACACTTGTGTACTAGATTCCATCACTGTTCAAAGGGCCCAGATCCAGCCATTCTTCCTTCTGTTCGTTAACTTACCTCTGCTAGATCACTCCCGTCAGCCTTTGAATGTACTATTATTTCTTCCATGTTAAAATCCTGTTTGACCCACACTCATCCCCTTTGCTCTTTATAGCAAAACTCAAAAGAGTTATGTAACTGTACACTCTACTTTTGTCTTTTGAACCCATTCCAATGAAGATTTTGATTCCACTGAAACTGCCCATGTAAAGATCACTAGAACCTCTGTGGTACTTAATCCAGTGGTCAAATTTTTTTTTTTAATGTTTATTTTTGAGAGAGGCACAGAATCCGAAGCAGGCTCCAGGCTCTGAGCTGTCCACACAGAGCCCAACGCAGGGCTCGAACTCAAGAACGGTGAGATCATGACTTGAGCTGACGTCGTACGCTTAACTGACCAAGTCACCCAGGTGCCCCAGTCCAATGGTCAGTTCTTAATCCTTAACTTTTTTTTTTTTCAACGTTTATTTATTTTGGGGACAGAGAGAGACAGAGCATGAACGGGGGAGGGGCAGAGAGAGAGGGAGACACAGAATCGGAAACAGGCTCCAGGCTCCGAGCCATCAGCCCAGAGCCTGACGCGGGGCTCAAACTCACGGACCGCGAGATCGTGACCTGGCTGAAGTCGGACGCTTAACCGACTGCGCCACCCAGGCGCCCCTTAACTTTTTTTTTGACATGTTAGCATATGACATAATCACTCTTTGAAATGCTTTCATTTACTGTGGTAGGAGGAGTAATGCCTCCCAACCCACTACCCCATGTTCATACTCTAAATCCCTGGAACCTGTAAATATGTTGCATGGTAAAAGGGACTTCTGGCTGTGGTTAAGGATCTTGAGATGGGGAGATTGTCTTGGATTATCTAGATGAGTCCAGTCTAATTGCGTGAGGCCTTAAAAGCAGAGAATCTTCCCTGGCTGAGATCAGAAGGAGATGGGACTAAGGAAGAATGGTCTGAGAGATTCAGTGTTGCTGTCTTGGAAGATAGAGGAAGGGGGCCTCCAGAATCTGGAAAAAGCAAGGCAACGTTCTCTTTTAGAGTCTTCAAAAAGGAACTCAGCCTGCCCAGGATTTAGGCCCATGTGGGACATCCTACAGAATGTAGGATGATAGATTTATGTTGTTTTAAGCCACTAAGTTTGTGTTAATTTGTTAACAACTGCAATAGAAAATGAACACAGAGTTTTGCTTTCTAGGACAGATCTCATACTCTGAGGTTTCACCTAGTTTAGCAGCCACACCTTAGTCTGAGGTTCTGGTTCTTCATGATCTCCACCTCTGCTTTATCTACCTGGACTCTATTCTCTGGACTCCAGACCCATTATTCAAAACCTACTTGACATCTCTCATGGATGTTCATAGTTCAGACAATTTCAATTCCTGCTCAACTTAACTTCAGTGAGAACTTCCATGACTTTCACTTTAGAATTGCCCCCCCCCCCCCCCCACCATTGGCATGTTCTACTGTGTGGCTATGCTTTAGCCCTTAACAACCATTTCACAAACTTTGTCTCTTTCTTTCTTTTTTTTTTTTAATTTTTTTCAACGTTTTTTATTTATTTTTGGGACAGAGAGAGACGGAACATGAACGGGGGAGGGGCAGAGAGAGAGGGAGACACAGAATCGGAAACAGGCTCCAGGCTCTGAGCCATCAGCCCAGAGCCGGACGTGGGGCTCGAACTCACAGACCGTGAGATCGTGACCTGGCTGAAGTCGGACGCTTAACCGACTGCGCCACCCAGGCGCCCCAAACTTTGTCTCTTTCTGCCAGCTCCACAGGGCACAGGGATTTTTGGTTTCATTCACTGTACCTTCACCTAGAACAGTGCTTGGCATGTACCGGGTGCTCAGGAATGGTAATAGATCAATAGATAAATGATGGTATTATGGAGAATGAGTGACAGTCTGGCCTGGAGCAGGTTAGGAAGTTCCATGGTGGTCACATTTGAACTGGGCTTTGACATGTGAGGTAGAAAAGGCTGTTGCATGAGGTAGCACTTGACG